CAAAGTTGGGTTGAAACAACCCAGCATTTTTTAGAGTGTATTTTTCGGGTTAAAGATCCATCATCTCTGCGTCCAGCTGGTTCACGCTCTGATTATACTTGATCTCATGTTCTTCGTCAGCTTCTTCATATGGAGCTATTCTTGCTCTTTTCCAACCGCAGAATGCTTCTTAAATGTTTCTTTGTTCCTACAGGGAGAGAGTCTCACAAATATAGTGCAGCTTTAAGATTACAAGGCATGTTGGATTCCAGATTAGACACAAAAGCAGTCCGTGTTATATAAGATTTTAATCAAGCACTTTTGGGGCATGGATCTTGGCCTTGGCACCAGACAGCGTGACTAGAGCGGAGGGCAGTTGTGCAGGACAGATGTGCTGTGTAATTCTGTGTGCGAGGGAAAAGGGGTGTTAGTTTACTTTGGGTAATTTGTGACCTAAGCCCTCCAATCCCAGCTGTCAAGCAAATACAACAACCGCTGTTCTCATGCAAAGGAGGATTTTGGATATGTTTGTTTGGTCAAATCGAGCTATTCTGCAAACCACATACACTGAGTGGGACGTCTACCCAGATGCTCAAACAATAAGTGTGTGTGACTTTTTTTGGTGTAACGAACTAAATGCCTCAAACAGTCCCAGCAGGATTTCACAATTTTATTTATTTATTTGCTATTAATTAATTATACATAATTGCATGCAAGTAACCCTAAGCCAAACCCAAATCCTAACCATATAATAAGTACATGTAGTTAGTTAATATTACTCAGTACTTATATGTATAATTACACTGAAACAAGGACACCTTAAAATAAAGTGTAACCGTTATTTTTTATAATTAGGATAGTACACTTACCATATTATATATGACATTAGATGATTGTCATGACTGAACAAAATGCAGAAAGCTTGTTTAATTTTGTGTTTTATCAAACTTTTTCTTTTGTTGTTTGCTTAACATTAATGACACAGCCAGCAGCAGGTATATTAGGCTGCTCTCACTTTAAGACAGAATGCATAGATCCAATATATTGATACACATCAGATTTTCTCCCAACTGTTTACGTTCATTTAAGACATAACAGTCGTGAATATGTAATTACTTGCGAAGATGGGCAATTTTGCATAACTTTGTGTCTACTTGAACATTCACGCGCATTTCTGTGTGAACGCTTCAGCTGTGTGTCAGTCAGTGTGTGTGGACCGCAATTTTGAGAATTATTTTCGCTTAATAACTATTTTTAACATCAAGTATGTCCTGTGCTGTATTTTCTCATTTATGCATGTTTCTTTATCATACTAACATTAAGTAATATTGCGATTTTTGCAGTTTATTTAGCAGATATTTTGTTGATTTTGCATTGTGTTCCATGTTTGCTGAATCGCAAAAAACTGGAGGAACTATCTGAACTATTTTGTCATATTGTAGTCTCCTTCATGAAGAGCCATTTCCGTTAAAAATATAAAATACAATTTTAAAATGTGAAAATTTTGAGTTTATATCTCACAATTCAGACTTTTTCTGAGATATTATCTTCGGAATTAAATTCGGAATTGTGAGATATAAGCTTGCAATTGCGAGAGAAAAAAGTCGCAATGACCTTTAATTTTTTTACTTTGTTGTGGAAACAAAAAAACACTATTGTGAGACATAAACTCAGAATTCTGAGGTAAAAAAAACTCTGAATTGTGAGATACAAACAGATTTTTTTTCTCACACTTCTGAGTTTACATCTTGCAATAACATTCGCTAATCACACGGCGTTCTCTCTTCTGTTGTCATTCAGGGTTTTGTGATATTTATTTCAATTTTCCTCGAGGTCTCTCTTGAAGTTGTTAGTCATTCCTGTCACCTTGTATTAGAATGAGTGGCAGTGATTAGTGACTCGGTCAGGCAGATTAATCACAATGATTTTTAAATATTTTGAAATTATATATGGCAGATTACTAGCAGTGCCAGTTCTTTGTATCAGTTCTAAAATCTATCAGTTTTTACAAAGGACAATAAGCGTTTTATATTGCAGAGTTGTTGTTGTTATTATTATTATTATTATTATTATTATTATTATCATTATTCATTTTGAGTAAATCCAGTGTCTAAAAAGTTTATTTTGAGCTATTTTTATAATGATTCTTATTTTAAAAAGTTGACTGTTCTAATTTTTTATATACAAATTGTATTATTTGACTCCAGATAATATCTTAGAGTGATAATATATCTTATAGAGTAATAATAGAGTAATCATTTAATGTAATTTAATTGTATATTTTCTACGATATTCCATTTAGCTATATATATATATATATATATATATATACGGCAAAAAAAATAAATAATCAATCAATATAACCTCGGGATTGTGAGGAAAAAAGTCTGAAATAGATTAAAAAGCAAAATCCATGGCCATATTATTATTATTATTATTATTATCTTATTTTTTTTATTATTCTTATTCTTATTATTCCATATTATATTTCTATAATAATAATATTATTATTGCCATTAATAATAATAACAATAATTTTGAGTAAGTCCAGTAATGTCTAAAAAGTGTTCATTTAATTTTGAGCAATTTTTTTATAATTAACATTTGTATTATTTGACTCCAGATAATATTTTGGATTATTGGAGCACTATTTTATTAAATTTTTTTATTCTTTTATTTTACATTTTCTATGCCAGTCTATTTACTTATAAACAAACAAGCAGAGAACAACATGTCACAAAAATAAAGAATAAATAAACCAGTACTGGTCTTTTAAATACATTTTGTTCTCCTTTTTAATGATTCTTATTAAAATTATAAGTTTACTTTTCTGTGTGTTATATTATGTGACTTCAAATAATATCTTATGGAGTACTGTAGCACCATTTTATTATATTTGATTTTACAGCATGAGATAAAATTCAATAAATCAGCTTGTGCCATAAGTTTCTATATCCGTGCATCCTTCATTTATACCATTTCAAACACGTGTCTCGTGTGTTTCCTTTTTTTAGTATATCAATTTGCTCAGACACGGTCCAAAATCTTTCAGTGCCTCTCAGTCCATCATCCTTCCATTATCCCCTTAATCTTCTAAAGAAAGTTTCCCTTAAAAGTGATTTCTCGTCTTCACCATCTGCTCTCTGCAGCGGCCTAGTACATAGATTGCATGGCCTGTTTCAGATGTATTTATTTTTTCTGAGAATCAACAGATTAATGGAGATATTTAGTTACTGGAAATCTGCAGGATCTAGCATAATTCATAAAAATGATGTTGTCGAGTCTGACGACAGCGGACCGTCAGTTAGGGGTCAGTTAATCAGAAGGTCTCAGTCATAAAGATTAGAAGACTGAACCCAGATCAGCATGACCACAGAAATGTTAAAATTACTATGACGTTTGACTCAATAACTCTTCAACTTTGAAACATGATTTTTGTGTACTTACAATACATTAAAGGCCGGTTTCTGCTAAGCACCCTCAGTTAAAGCTGTAATAATAGGATATTAGCGAAATAGACTTGGCAAAAGTTTGTGTCTGTGCTCCTGAGTACATCAAAGGTTTTTCAAACGTGTTTTTTTTTCAGCGTTGAGTGAAGTAGCCAATCACAGACACATCTGTTGATTTCTTGAACGCATTAGCCAATCAGAGGCCTTTACGTTAGTAAGAATTCACTCACTGCTGAAAACACTGAAGTTTTTGTTCTTCAAGCTCGTGAATCTTCTTATTATAACAAACAAAGTGTAAACACGATGTAAATAAGAGATTCATTATACACTGTAGACATGATTATAACGAAACTTTGTGAGATAAATGCAGGATTATTTCTAGAAATTGAAATGATTGGCAATAGAGCAATAGACAGTGTTCTGACGATTTTGCTACCTCACACTAAAACAGTACAGAACACAATTCATCAATAAAAATGCTACCTATCAGATATTAATGTCTACACCTATCCTTACAGAAATGCAAATACAGTATGTGTTGTTCAGCGTGACAAAAATGAGGTATTAGCCCTTGTAGGACGATCTGACGGCTAGGATGAAATGACAGAGCACCGAGACAAAAATGTTAAAAAAGGTATAAAAAAGCGCCCTTAATAATTTCAGAAAAACACTCAGTGGTTGATTCTGGAACCAGGCCTTTCACATTCACAAACACAAAGAAAAAAACATCACTCCATATCTTTTATATCCTAATTTAGTATTTTATTGAGCAAATATCTATTATAAATGTAAATACATAAGCATTATAATATTAGACTTGCGTTTATAATTTTTATTGCACTTCCAATTCTCAGATCAGTAACTCTGTATTGCATTGAAAGCCTGAGATTTTTGCATAGCTTGCGGGGGGAAGAAATCTTTCTGTACATTGCTATTATATTTATGGATATGCATAATGCTGTTGTGAGTGCAGTCGTATATGTTTTCTGTATCTGCAGCATCCAGCAAGAGGATTTTCTCAGCAGCTTGACAACATCTTCACAAATTCTGCAAGAAGGAAGAAAAAAAAAACAGAAAAGCATTTCACACTTATGTGTAGGAAGTGTGAGTATCTATATGCTTTATTTGTCATGCATTGAAAATGAGTGTCATTTCTCACCTTCGAAATCTACCGTACCATCACCGTTATTGTCCGCCTCTTGGACGACAGCGTCAATCTCTCTGTGGTTCATGTGTTCTCCCAGTAGTTTACTCATAGCGGACCTCAGCTCCTCGGTAGTGATCGAGCCATCGCCGTCCATATCAAACTGTAGATGAGGGAAAAAAAGATTTTGTGATGAAAATATGGCAAATTCGATGTCTGTTGCTTATTATTTAGCTCACTGGTTCTCAGCGGCATTTGCATTTAGCATTGTTTTTCCATGCTGCTTGTGACCTGCACCCTTGGGTCGCAACCCACCAACAGAGAATCACTGAGCTGCTTTTCATCCACAGCAAATTCAGTTCATTAACTGCAAGGGCTTCACCCTCCCCTCCACCCCATAATGTTGTGGTAACAGGTCAAATGGAGTTGACTGAAGCCAGGTGAGAGTTTCTCCACTATCTGTTTGGGCAAATCCACTAAATGGCAAGTAATCTTAACTGTGTGTCATTGTGGATCAACACGTTCTCACCTCTTTGAAAGCATCTCGCAGTTCCTTCACACCAATCATGCCTGCTGTTTCAGCCAAAAGCTTTGGGGCCATTAACTCCACAAAGTCTTCAAAGTCGACCCTCCCTCCCACTGAGAGACAAAGAAATAGCAAAAATAGATCATAATTAGATACACCCCCCCCCTTTATTTTCTTTTACTTTATGCAAAACAATCATGCCAATCAAGTACTCTGAGTAAGACAGTTTCTCATTTTTCTAAAAGCCACTTACAATTCATGTTGATGTTCTGGCCCAGCTCGATCAGTTCCATCTCGGTTGGCATATAACCCATCGTCCTCATCAGGTTTCCCAGGTCCTTACAGCTAATTAGACCATCTTTATCTTTATCAAATTCATTAAATGCCTCTCTCAGCTCTGAGAACAAAGAAACATTCATCAAGGTAAATATAAGCACTTTTTACATTCCAATAATAAACATAATGCCATGAAATGTTAATTGGAATGATTTATTTAAATAAATAAGATCCCTGCAATGTCTACCAATAATTATCTCCATACAGTTCTTAATAATAATTATTATTATTATGCAAAAAACAATTTTTTTGGAAAAATGTTTTCTCCAATATTTATTGTCGTACAGTTTCTATTGCAATAGTCCCAAAGCATTTGTTTCTAAAATAAATAAATAAATAAAATGTAAAACATTTCTGCGATTGTCAACAAATATTTATTGTCATACAGTTGCTCTTAATGAAATAATCCAGAAGCATTGGAATAGGTCTGTAAAATAAATAAATTCATAAATAAATCAATAAAATCTGCTAATATTTGTTGTCACACAGTTCTTACTGAAATACTGAACGTGGCTAATGTTTAATAATAAAGTTTTTCTAAATAAAATGACATTATTTAAAGAAATATGAGTAATATCTCTAAAGTGTTGCATACTTCAGTCTAAGCTTTGACATTAGTAGAGATCATATCCAGATATCACAGCTGACAGGTGTGTTTACCTTCAATTTCATCATCTGCCAATTCTCTGTCCTGCAAAACCAAAATGACAGGTTAAGCCTCTCAAACATGTTTCACGTTGCCTGGTTGTCTCTGTGTCCGTTTAGGGTTTTTTTAGATTAATCTAAAAGGCCTGTTTTACTCATTTTGATAATGGCAAGAATGCTTTTAAAGCAGTGCATTGTAATCTATCCCATTAAGCAGACAGTGCTCAATGGCACGTTCCTCCCATTTTCATATGAATTAGAGGGTTTGTGGGCTGAATGTGACTAAGGGTTTAGTGTGATTTAGTGGAGCTGAATACGATTACGTGTCTGCTGAATCAGGCCAAACATGGACAATAAAGTAATTCAACGCAAATCCATTAATGACAGCATTTCTGGTTTTCTTCCTATTTAGACATTTGATTCATAATAAAACTAAACTAATAATAATAATAAAAAA